CCCTGATGAGGTGGCTGAGTTGCGTCGCACCACGGATCTTGCTCTTTGTGCCACTAAGCAGGCATCCACTGCCATTGGCAGATCCATGGCGGCCATGGTGGTTACAGAGAGACATCTGTGGGTGAGTTTGGTGGATATCGGGTCGAAAGAGAAGGACTTTCTTCTTGATGCGTCAGTTTCCTCTTCTGAGCTTTTCGTCACTTCCGTCGAGACGGTGGTCGTGAAGTTTAAGGAGGCCAAGACGCGTTTGGCTGACTTTAAATCCTTCATTCCACGAAGGTCCAGGCTTTGGACTTTGCCTCCAGCCTATATCCATGAGCCTGAGTCATGCATGGGAGCCATGGTTGGCGAGTACAATCCATTTTCATCTACTCTACTGCTAGTTCTTGTGTATTCGATGCTAGCCTTCCTCTGCAGCGCTACTCGAACCTGTTCTGTTTTCTGACTTTTAGGTTTGACCCACCTGCTAAGTCAGGACCTCCTGCTGTTGACCGATTACAGTGTTGGTTTCACTCATCGGTTCTGGACCCAGGCTGGTGATAGCCCTCATTGGGCTTCTGAGGAAGCCTCCCAGCATCAGGTCCCCAGTATAACGCTGCAACCTCAGGACCTGCGGGTCCTTTTAGTGGGCTAGTACTCTTCTGAGTACATGCTTCGTGACATGCTCCCTTATCCTCTGGCCAGGGTGTGCTACTCATTTCTCACCCTGAGGGGTCTCCCGAGATTTGAGTTATTCCTTAACCTTCATGCACGTTCTCTGAGCTAGAGCTTCTCTTGCTGAGGCGTTGAGGAGCTCAACGCTCCATAGACGGTCGGGCCCGTGGGTCCTCACTGTCACACTGCCCTTATGGTTGAACCAGTAATGGATCCCTCTGCAGAGTGGGCTGGAGTACACTGCGTTCCCTGAGGTAAGAGGGATTTGTGTTTCTGTGGAAACAGTTTCTGAGGAGCAGTAATCTCTACGCATGGATGGTTATTGGGTCCCGCTATTTCTTCAGATTCTATTGGGTCTGGTTATACGGGACCCACACTCTCTATTGCGACAGAGAGCATGAGACCATGTCCAGCTGCACCAGTGGACTGTCTCTTATTGGGCCCTGCTGGGTTACCACTTATAATTTAGCGCACCCTTCTGGTCAAGCTGAGAAGTGCTCCCCTCTCTGCAGGGCTGTACGTTAACTTTTTTTTTCCACATAGCACTGGTGCTACAGAGGTTGAAAGTTTTGTAGCACAGGCCAAAAAGTTGTAGCACAAGTATAAAATGTCTGTTATCATGTCTGAAAACAAACACAAGTAATGGAGCTCATCACTTAAACAGGCACTGATGTTCCATACAGAGCACAAAAAATACAAGAGTGCAGAAACATAACACCTCTTACACCTTAACAAAATATAAAATAAAAAAAGAATGGCAGACGTTTAGGCCAAAGTGAGCAAAGTAATATTTATTTGTAAAATATAAAAATATTTTATCTTTGTTATTAGAAAATAAGAACAAAGATATACATTACAAATACACATAATATACAAATAAAACAAACAGTGCTTCATTTTTCAGGTACAGTATTTAGCAGTAACATTCAAGAAATTGAATGAACAAATATTTAAATAAAACACTATATACACTATATACATCAATTATACTTTTTTAAAAGCAACTGACTGATGATAAGTTCATTAGTCAAGAGCAGTGAGCAGATTTTTTCTGTGTTTTGTTGTTTTATTAACATTAAAAGAATAGTTCATCAAAAATTTAAATTCTGTCATCTGTCTTTCAATTCTGTCATATCTGTAGCGAATCAGCTCATGGGGAAATATGAATAATTAACCATAACTAGTTATAATTAACTATTCATATTTTAGAATCGCTGTAGATATTTAGCTGACCACTCAGGGTCAACTGTCTTGTCAATTCTAAGAACGTTAATTTCCTGGTTAAGGGAAATAACTTTCTTACTGTACAATTCTATAAGCTTGTAACCAAGCACAACGAAATCACTTCACATTATTAAGCGGCTGTGTTATGAACATGCAAAACTGTATCGCACGCGTGCTACAGTGGTAAATTTATTAATCACACAGACCAGTTATTTCGTAGCACGTGCGACATATATGACCATATATGGCCTCTCTGTGAGGGTTAGCTACGAGTCGCTCCCAGTATGTGCTGTACGGACCCGCCTCAGCTTGAGAGACGAGAGCGCTGCTCCTGAAGAACCCCATTTGCAACGAATTAAGTGTTAGGCCCGTCTCTGTCGCCTCCTTGGTCAGTTGCCTTTATGCGATCTATCTGCTTCCCTGATAAGCTGTCTCTATTTGGGTCAAGCCAGGCAGTGCTCCCCTCATCTCACAGAGTTGTCTTTGAACCTGCCGCTCCTGTCTGAGCGTTTGTGGACCTCTCTCTTCGAATGCTCTGCTCGTTTGAGCTCCATTGAGTAGCGGCCTCAGGTTGTTAGTCCTCTCTCCGCCTTCCTGTTGAGCCACTCTCCTTGGGGTCGAGCTTAGCAATGCCCTTGGGGGTTCATATGAGCACTCCCCTTTCGATCTGATCGTCGTGTCCCTCTTCTATACTTGAAGATTGGCCTCCACTATTTTGAGCTCTGTATAGCAATCATGCCAGGCGGCTGGGCCGTCGCCTGCCTCCCTGGAGGGTTGCTTTTTAAGTGCGCTAGCTGTGCTCCCCTCATCATGAAGGGCCTCTAGCAAGTGCGCCGCTCCCTTCTGGGTATCTATGAGCAGATGCTTCGGAATCTGTTCTATGAGCGTGCCACAGTCACATAGGGCCCCAATGCAGGCTTAATACAGCCTTGGTTACCCCTTGAGCAATGGTGTTTCTAAATCCATGCTATGGTAAGTGCACACACTAAACCTCTGTGCACTTTCTAAAATCCACATTGTGGTAAGTGTGCACGCTAAGCATTCTGCACACTTTCTAAAATCTTGTATGGTAAGGGTTACGCGCTGTTAGCCTTCTTTGAGTTCTTTGAGCAGGTTTATTCAGAACCGGTGGTAGCCCCCCTGGGTGGCAGGCCAGGGTCTGGTTTGGTTTTTAGACACCTGGCCGTAACCCCTCAAAGGAATCTCTTTCTTCGGATTCCAAGCCTTGAACTGCCCTAGGCTTGGGCTTCCCAGCCCAGCCACTATCAGGTAAGTTGTTTAGGGTATGCAGTTCAGGCCCTTGGCCGGAGGGGATAATGTTACTGACAGTTGTCAAGGCGTCCTAGGGGCAACTCCCATGGCTATGGTAGAGTTGGTACTTAGTGCTCACCGTGGTTTTCTGGCATGCACTCCCCTCAGCATGGTGGCATGGGTATACCGTTCCCCATAGCAACCCCTAGAGGATGCAGTTCGAAGTTCCCTCAAAAGGGAATGTCTCAGGTTACGTATGTAACCATGGTTCGCTGAGAAGGGAATGAGACACTGCGTCCTCTAGTTTCCTTGCCATGCTTCGGACGCAAGCTTCAGACGAAGAAGTGGATGACGTGTTATCCCGGCGCACTTTTATGCTGTGATCACGCATTTTAATGATGTCATAGGCTGTCGCCGGCCAATGTTATTGTCATTTTTAGATGTATGCTTCAGACACTGGTCACGCTGAAGGCGTTCCCCATAGCGACCCCTAGAGGACGCAGTGTCTCGTTCCCTTCTCAGGGAACCATGGTTACATACGTTACTGGAGACGTTCTCCGGTACGGCATTCTGCAACAACTTAGCTGCCCGCAGATGTCCCTGCCTATAAATCGGCCTAATTTGCAGCACAATCGGGCCGATGCTGAGTGCCAAAAATCGGCCTGATTAATCGGTCGACCTCTAATACACAGAGTACATTTCTAAGAACATAGTATGTGTTTTTTTAACCCTTATGCCGGGTTCAGACTACAAAATATTTTTGTCGGTCATGATAGTCACTGTGTCAGATTACACGATTTTGACTCCTAAAATCTTGTTGTGTCGTGGACAAGAAACATGTCAGACTACACGTTGCTTCCCGACCATTCATCGCGTGCCGTCTTTAACGATGTGCGTGATGTCATCGAGAAGGCATAACTTGCGACTGACTTCCGAAAACAAGAGTGTAAACATTGCTGAAACGTTTCCGCTATAGTTCGCCAGCATTTTTCTTTCTCTGTTCTGTCGAGGTAGTCCCTCGATGACACATCATACAGGCAGGAGTACTGTTGCCACAGCTCCACAAACCTTTCCTCCATCTCATAATTCCACCTAGAAGCACCATCATCTCTCTTTCGTTTTGCCATGTTTGAAACCTGTGTATGAAAGAGCTTCTGTGCTGCTATTGTTTAACGTCACCAATGTGACAGAACTCGTCGTGGACGACAGGAAAAAAAAATAAAACATGCTAGTCTTTCTGTCGTGATGTCGTGAAGCATCGCAGACGCAGAATCGGTTGTCGTCCACTATGACACACTACACGTGCTGAAACGATGGAATCTTGCTTCCCAACGCCCATTGTCGTTTATGAATCTCCACGACAAACCTTTCCTCCATCTCATAATTCCACCTAGAAGCACCATCATCTCTCTTTCGTTTTGCCATGTTTGAAACCTGTGTATGAAAGAGCTTCTGTGCTGCTATTGGTCAACCTCACCAATGTGACAGAACTCGTCGTGGACGACAGGAAAAAAAAAAAAAACATGCTAGTCTTTCTGTTGTGATGTCGTGAAGCATCGCAGACGCAGAATCGGTTGTCGTCCACTATGACACACTACACGTGCTGAAACGATGGAATCTTGCTTCCCAACGCCCATTGTCGTTTATGAATCTCCACGACAACCCTACGTCAAGCAAATCGTGGCAAAATCGGGGCTAAAATCGTGTAGTCTGAACCAGGCATAAACCCTCTTTATAATCCTTATTTGAGGATTGGTCTTGTATTAGCCCTTAACTTGTGTCCTCACCTATATGATCAAGATCTTCTCACCTGACTGTGGCTCTCCTCCACCTCTTCTTCCCGTCTCTCATATGTACGGCGTCTGCGGGGCTGGTAATAATGAGCGTAAGAAGCTCCTCGGTTGGTGTACACGTGGATGTTGCCTGCATGAGGATAAGAGTTGTTTGTTCTTTAAATATGTGACAGAAATATTTAGCTTGCATTAGATTCATTACTGGAACAGAGAAATGTGATGGACACATTAATGCAAATTTATGAAAACGTTTTCTATAGCTGTAATGCTTTTAATAGAGGTTCAGACCTGTAGGAAACCTGCCCCCGAAGAAGATGTTAAAGAGCTCCTCCGGAGAGATGTCAGCTTCAAAGTCTCTGTTGAAGGTGCGGTGGTGTCCGTACGCGTGACGTGGCTGGGCTGAAGTATGACTGGATGTCTCTGCAGGGCCCTGGTCCCCACACTGATCATATTGCTGCCTTTGCTCTGGGTTACTGAGCACTGCATATGCATTGCCTATAGCTGAATAAAGAAAACGAGCAGTGAAACCCAAATATTAAAGTTTAATATGAATAAAATTTACATTATTCTAAGTATAAATATAAGCGTTGGGGAAAGTAAGAAGTCTCTTATTATTTGATTAAATGAATGCAGTAAAAACAGAAACATTGTAAACTTTGATTACAATTTAAATGTTTTCTATTTGAATTTTGAAATGTAATTTATTCCTGTGATGGCAAGCTGAATTTTCAGCATTATTACTCCAGTTTTCAGTGTCACATGATCTATCAGAAATCATCTAATATGCCAATTTGGTGCTCAACAAACATTTTTTATTATCAATGCTGAAAACAGTTGTGCTGCTTAATAGTTAATAATATTTTTGTGGAAAACCATGACTTTTTTTTTTTTATAATTCTTTAAAAAATAGAGACATCAAAACAACAGCTTTTATTTACAATATAATTTTTTTGTACCAATCTAAAAGTATTTAGCGATCACTTTAATACATCCTTATTGAATAAAGTATTTAAAACCAACCCAAACTTTTTAACACCAGCAGTGGTCATAATGGTCATATGAGATACCTTTAAAAGCATCGGTCGCTCCAGGGGCACAGTTCTTATCCGGGTGGAAGCGTAGCGCCAGCTTCCTATAGGCTTTCTTCAGGTCCTCATCACTGGCATCCTTTGGCACCCCCAGAATCTCATAGAAGTCTCTGCATCTCTTTATCCTGCACGAGTTTAGGAAGCATATAAATGAACAATGACTGAATTGTAATTTTTGGGTAACTACTCCTGTCAGTACCTGAGCACTCCTTGCCGCTGCTCCTCAGTGTAGCTCTTTTTGTCGTCACTGGACCCCTCTGCTCTCTCTTGCGTACTGGGCCGCTGATGTGGAGCTGGGCTGTCCTCATTAGAGTTTCTCCAGCCTGGTGGAGGAGTAAAGGTACGCTCCTCTTTAGGGGGAGTGCCGCCATTCTTCACAATGGCATCAATCAGTACTAATAATAGAAATCAGAGAGACATGTAGGGACTTTTAAAATCAGCTTGTACTTGCATACTTACTGTGTGTACACAGAAAAAATGGTAATTGTACAGGCAGGAATACATTACATGACTTTTAAAATCTGAACAGATTTTTAAAACACTACTACCAGACCTTCAAGTTGCTCCAATCACAAAAATCTCATGTAGAAACATGCACCTTGTTGCTAGGAGATGCTTGACAAATGAAAACAATGTGTTCTATAATCGGCTGAAAATATCAAACATGTTTGATAAAATTATGTAAATTATGCATAATTACATGCAGATAACACTAAACCAAACCTTACCGTAACCCTACATTAAGTACATCTTGTTTTTACTCAATACTTTAAAGTGTAAAAACAAACATATTATATATGGAGTTAACCATAAGGTTTTTTTTTTCTGCAGGTCCCCCATTTTCATTAACTGGGTTTCTACAAATTTTATGAAGGCAAATTTAAGAAATTTTAAAGAGTTTTTTAAGACCAGGTAAAGAAAATGTAAGGACCAAATTGAAGGGAATGAAAAACATAAATGTTTTCTAAAAGTAAATGTCTAAGGAAAATAATACTTTAATATTATATCAGCATATATTATATTAGAATATAAGCAATACTTCAAAGTTTGAAAATACAACCAATCTCCATTACTTATTAATTCATTTTACACATACACACAAACAAAATATCTTAACTAGAATATGGAAATAACTTCTATGTTCTTCATCGGTATTTCTGCCTTGTTTTACAGTGCAAATGTTTAAAAATTCTTAAATCATAATATATGCAAAAATGAAGGGCATTTATCACTAAAAAAATTAAAAAATCCGACAACATCTGCAAAATTAAATTAATTCAAAGGGAAATCCAGTTTTCATACCCCAGATATTTGTTCTTGGTCTAAACATAAATTCATTTAATTTTGTTCAATTTTGTTCAAGTCTTCATTTTGCACCTCAAGTAAATGTATCTTGATTTAGGGACGTTTAGATATTGGGAAACAATACAAAAGTACTGACAAAGATATTACTTTTTTGCAGTGTATGCAACATTTAATGCCTTGACTTTATGAATCTTTGGACAGTTTCGGGTCCCATTTTTTTTCTGCTGGTCCCCCAAAAATGAAGGGCATTTATCACTAAAAAAATTTAAAAATCCGACAACATCTGCAAAATTAAATTAATTCAAAGGGAAAGTCTTCATTTTGCACCTCAAGTAAATGTATCTTGATTTAGGGACGTTTAGATATTGGGAAACAATACAAAAGTACTGACAAAGATATTACTTTTTTGCAGTGTATGCAACATTTAATGCCTTGACTTTATGAATCTTTGGACAGTTTCGGGTCCCATTGATTTCTGTTGTACTTTTGTCCATACAATTGAAGTCAGGAACCCAAACTGTGTGGTTGCCAACATTCTTCAATTATTTTGTGTTTCACAGAAAAAAGAAATGCATACAGATTTGGAACCAAATGAGAGGGGGGGTTGCATGAATTGTAAATGTTCTGGGGGAACATACAGGTGCATCTCAAATTAGAATGTCATGGAAAACTTCATTTATTTCAGTAATTCAACTCAAATTGTGAAACTCGTGTATTAAATAAATTCAATGCACACAGACTGAAGTAGTTTAAGTCTTTGGTTCTTTTAATTGTGATGATTTTGGCTCACATTTAACAAAAACCCACCAATTCACTATCTCAACAAATTAGAATATGGTGACATGCCAATCAGCTAATCAACTCAAAACACCTGCAAAGGTTTCCTGAGCGCATATGCAGTGCTCAGTAACCCCGTCAACAAGCTTGGCCCCCCTTAATTGGGAATCATATCACACCAAACTATTTTGGGTGAAATGCGCAGTTTGTCCTGTAAACTATATATATAAAAAAGAAAAACATCACCGGCTGCTAAATTCAAATCTTCATTCGCTGGCTGGCACAGAGCCAGAGGCACACACTCACAGACACAAGACCCTCTGACTGCAATGATAGAGCTTGCAATAGCCAGGAAAATTTTTAATATAACTCCGACTGGATTCGTCTGAAAGAAGAAAGTCATATACACCTAGGATGCTTTGAGGGTGAGTAAAACACAGGCTAATTTGCATTTTTGGGTGAACTAACCCTTTAAGAAAAAAGACGGATTTTTATGCAAAGTTAATAGATTACACTATTAGGCTACTTTACTAGAGAACTAACATAATCTATAAAAGGTGCAAAATGCATTTACTTGCACATATTTGAGAATCGAGATATTTCATGATGTATTTTGGGAATATTTTGAATACAAATAAAAAAAATTATAAAACCCCTGCTGAAAAAACAATAGACACCATTAGAAAATTTGTAATGGTTTTACTGGTTATAATGGGACTTGTATTGGTTTTACTGGAAACTGTAATAGACCCTGTTGGTCTCTACTGGTAATTGGTTGCCTTCTATTGGTGGCTTGTTAAAACCAATAAATTCTAAGGGAGCATGTCACAAAACACACTACAGAAAACCATTTTTAATGGTTTTAATGGTTAAAAGTTGATAGTTTCTAATGTTATTTGCAGTGGAAACCATACAAAATTTTTTGGATGGTTTTCTTGTTTTTTTTTCTCAGTAGCATAAACCTATATCAGTTTGTGGCTGCTGTGTGTCACATGACAAGCATGAGATCCCCCCCATCACTCGTGCCCCCTGAAAAATGATGCCTCTGACACTACAATACAAAATTATTTGTCAAATAAATGAAACATGATGAAACATTCATTTTAGTTGAAATTGTTACTTCTAGAGATTGCAGCGATACATGACATGGTGAAAAGTAGGTTAAGATGAATTTCAAAATTGTGCCCCCTAAAAGCACAAGTGGCCCCTGTCTGGCCCACCCAGTTACTGTGGTCTAGAACCGCCCCTGTAAATGAGGGTAAACGATGACAGGTTTTAGCATTTTGGGGTGGACTATCCCTTTAAGAAAATTAGCGAAAAGCAGGAATTATTTTTTTCTTCATACTTAATCACAACGGAGACGTGTTTCACAAGAGAGACTGATCATATACGGTATATCATATCTTTTCAACCACTGGGAGACTCAAACGCACCGCTGACCAGGGGACAGATTATATAACGCACAACAACCAGACGCTGCACTTTCTATTTCAGCGCACTGACCAAACACACCTGATTTGTCAATCAAACCACAACAGCATGATACAGACCTCTAGCCCGGGTGCTCGGGTAGATCTTCTGCGCCTCGTACAGCAGCTGCAAGGCTTTCTCTTTGCGTCCTGAGCGCAAACACAGCTTGGCTTTCTCTATCAGCCTGTCAGACTCCTCTCTGTCCATCTCAAACAGTGACATTTCAAACAACGACACCTCAAACCCGCATGAAATGACGTGACAAAGAACAGAAGTAAAATAATCAAAACAAAGCGTGTTGGACTGTAAAAATGACTCGCAGTGTTGTTGACATGAAGCTAATGCGTTATGCTAATACAACCACAATTTAACTTCCGATTTTAGACATCTTCCGCTCTCCTAACGGACACGGCGACTTAGTCGAATATGAATTTATTATCAAAACAATTCATGTTTGACCTTCTATATTAGGCTTCGTCATTGTAAAAGGTGCGAGAAAGACAGAAATGCAATACTGCTTGTAACCTCCATCGCTAAACGGAAGCGGAAGCGCATGTTGCAGTGGACTACAATCCAAACAGCCAATTAGAAGGCGACATTCCTTGCCGTAAATGGCATGATGGCAATACCATACAAATCCTAGTTGGCACTCGGCGCTAATGAGTGATGCTACCGTGTGCGTTTACCGATTAACCCGGTATTTGTTGGATAAACACACTTTGGATCTCATACAATGGCCACAATGACCTTGTAGAATTACTTCAAATGAACTCATAAAAAAATCCACGTTTAATATGAAAAGAGCCGTCACTAGGGTTTTATATATACTTTACAGCACATACAAACAACAACAACAAACCTGTGCCCACTGAACGTCGGCTGTTAGGGGATGCACACAATTTCAAGATGAGATGAAAACACTGTTTGTCGCCCTCTTGAGGCTGCGACAAGGAATATGAAATTTCAGTATGGACATTGTTAGAAGCATCAAATGTGAATCTCACAAACTATAAAGATTGGAGACAAAGATTTGTCCTCCAAACTAAATCCCAACATATCTTGAACATATTCTGACAAGAGTCAACTATGCCATGAAGGATGCTCAACAGCATTTTTCATTCATAGCAGGTCAGATCAAGCGGAACGTGTTTTAGGTTAATATACACATTAAATTACACAATTATATAACAATGGTTTGATACTGTTGTATTGTACCTTTTAAGTTTTCACCATTTCAAGATTTGTTGGACTGGACTAGAGATTTTATACAGTGGCCTCAAAAAGATATTTGAATATTTCAGCCACATTTAAATTGCATTAGCTAAATTATCAGACCAAGTGGCGTCTGCAAAGAAATTTTGCAAGAAACTACCCTTTCTTGCAATTCATTTGTATCAACCCGTGAATATAAAGTCAAGATCACAAGATGAAATTTGTTAAAATTGAATTTCTGGTCAATGAAGCTGGGGTTACACTACACACATATGGCAGTATAATAATAACAATAATAATAATAATGATTATTGTTGTTTTTATTATTATTGAATTTACATTTGGAACCACAATAATTAATTATTTAAATAAAAGAATACATAAACAATTAATTAAAATATAATAATAATAATAATTATTATTATTATTGAATTTACATTAGGAACTGTAATAATTAATTAATATGTAAATTAAAATATTAATTAAATTAATTAATTCAAATATACTGACAACAACAACAACAGCAATAATAATATAGTTATTATTATTAAATTTACAGTTGGAGCCACACAAAGATTATGGAATTATGGCTCTGTATGAGCGCTTATGATATCATAGAGGAGTTTTAGAACGTTGCGCGGGACTATATAAAGCGCGAGACTCGCCTGCTTACTTTGTGGCGAAGGAGTATTGTTATCAACGGTGTTTACAGTGTGTATTCAGTTGTTGATAGCGTTTTATTTTGTCGAGTATGGGACAGCGACAGCAGGCACGTGCACACATAGACATACAAGGGGGCTTGAGCACCTGCCCTTTTCCTTCCTGGAGAGAAATTGCCTTTGTTTTTGGGGGAGTGTCTTTTTTTATAAATGAATAAATGTATAGCTATATGTGCGCGCGTGTGTGTGTTTCTGTTTGAGCACAGCTTTCCCTGTCAAACTAATACAAATTTAAATATCAGGTCGGGTCGGAAATGTTGAGACTGTCGAGTTGCGACGCCCCTCCGCGCAGACGCAGCACAGCAGTTTGGCACACCTTTTGTGCACTGTTGCACATGCGCATCAGGCAGAGGCCGCAGATTGCAGAAGTGAAGCCCTCCCTCCCTTTCCAGTTGTGTTTGTCTTGGTGTGGAGGTGAGTGGTGATGAACAAAAGACAAAAGACTAAAAGCTACCTGTGCCTCGAATTTACAGCTAATTACCCAAAAGGCAATTATAGTTAATTTGTCTTGCTAACATCCATGACTCATGAGAGCGACATGATTCAGTTCACTGCATGATTCCGTTTATTAAAATGCATTTAGAATGACCACAAAATTCAAGAAACGGGGGCAGAAATGTATATATTTATATCATTTCATATAGCTAATCAGTATCACGTGAAGACTGACGTTTTTTTCAACCAAAAAGCAGCATTATTACAAATGTGATATTGATTTTATACAGCAGTTCAATAAACAAGAATTTAATAATAAGTTGCTTACGTTTTAGACACAATATTGACTGTTTTTGCTCTATTTCGCCAACAAATATAATTCCAATTTGCATCTCTGAGCAACATGAAGGTGTTTCGTTCCTGAATGAATCAACCATTTAATTGATTCGGTTCAGTCGCAATGACTCACTTATTAACAGTGGCTTGCTGCCACCTAGTGGTGGTTTTAATTTCACATTTAAAGTCTCTTCATTTTTTTCTTTTTTCTTTTTTTATAATTTCAGACATCAGTATTCAACGTTTTATGTTTAAAATATCAAAACAGTATGAATGCATTTGTAACTGCAGGTTAAATACATTCATGTCCTGCATTAAACAGTGTGTAAATGCATCTAACTGCCCCTTCTAATGTTGCTTCTGTGTTTTCTCTGCATTGCAAAGATGGACTTTGTCAATACTGATTTCATTTAAAAGGTATAAATCTATTTAAACTTATTGGAAAAGATTAATTTCTATCACTGCTGTGAACTGATCACCATACAAAATATGAAGAATATCAAACATTTTAGGAGTCAGCTGTCCACAGCAGTCCTTGAGATATCAGCACAATAACACACTCAGCAAAATATAATCTAATTATCGTTATCAATAAAATCCCAGAAAATATTGATATATATTTTTTGTCAATATCGCACACCCCTAATATATTTAATGTTTTGATTAGAATTAAAAAAAATTAAATAAATATGAGAAGTGCCCTTTTTTCCACTTGAGCCCCTGCCCCTCAAAATGTCTGTGCATGTCCCTGAGCGACAGTCTCGCAGAGATAAAGCAGAGGGTGGTGAGTGTGTGCACGGGGTCAATCCCGGTACATCACTTTTAGTAGCCTGGTTGAATTTAAGAATATCGACTCCTCCACTGATGTTTGTGTATGGCCCTTTGTGTTTATTTTCTTCCTTTGTATCCACAATACCACAACACCACACCGTAAGAGCTTGTGCCTCTTAATGCCTTAATTTAACTCCATAGCACCGTGACCGCATGGTTCCTTATCTCCATCCATGTGCGACTGAGACGACAGCGCGACTTCCGTGCAGGTCCGGCGAGCCGCCCTTTCATAAAATGTCTCTATAGGAACAGTAACTTAATGCAGGTAAATTATCAGATGAATACAGAAATATAACAAGCAATATTATAATGATATACTAAACCCCAAACGAATAAATGATGGTTATTTACACTCCCACCAAATCATAAGTGACTATAAATATCAACTTTAGTCACTAATGCTTAATAAAATCATTTTAGTATGAATTGCTTAACTCAAAGGATATGTCAAGAAGTTCAAGCTGCCTCAAGCAGCAGAACCAGCTTCTGTACAGCGCGCTGTGAAGTTCAGGCATTTACCATCCTTCTTCAGTTATCTGCAAAGAGTATTTTTACTCTTCTCACCAGACCATCCCTTTCAGCAATAGTCTCAATAACTTCTGCCAATCACCATTCATTCCTGGGCACATCATCTGCCTTTTCCAAGACTATATCTCCAACCTGCAAGTTCCTTCTGGATGTAAGCCATCGCTGTCTGGTGGTAATATTAGACAAGTACTCCCTTCGCCAACGACTCCAGTATGGCGTTATTTTAATGACAAATGTCGATAGTGCATAATTGAAGCGCGAAAGCACATTAATATAATGCGCAAGCGCAAATTTCTCCTCTCGCACGCGGATACAGAAATATAACAAGCAATATTATAATGATATACTAAACCCCAAACGAATAAATGATGGTTATTTACACTCCCACCAAATCATAAGTGACTATAAATATCAACTTTAGTCACTAATGCTTAATAAAATCATTTTAGTATGAATTGCTTAACTCAAAGGATATGTCAAGAAGTTCAAGCTGCCTCAAGCAGCAGAACCAGCTTCTGTACAGCGCGCTGTGAAGTTCAGGCATTTACCATCCTTCTTCAGTTATCTGCAAAGAGTATTTTTACTCTTCTCACCAGACCATCCCTTTCAGCAATAGTCTCAATAACTTCTGCCAATCACCATTCATTCCTGGGCTCATCATCTGCCTTTTCCAAGACTATATCTCCAACCTGCAAGTTCCTTCTGGATGTAAGCCATCGCTGTCTGGTGGTAATATTAGACAAGTACTCCCTTCGCCAACGACTCCAGTATGGCGTTATTTTAATGACAAATGTCGATAGTGCATTTTGATTAGAATTAAAAAAAATAAAATAAATATGAGAAGTGCCCTTTTTTCCACTTGAGCCCCTGCCCCTCAAAATGTCTGTGCATGTCCCTGAGCGACAGTCTCGCAGAGATAAAGCAGAGGGTGGTGAGTGTGTGCACGGGGTCAATCCCGGTACATCACTTTTAGTAGCCTGGTTGAATTTAAGAATATCGACTCCTCCACTGATGTTTGTGTATGGCCCTTTGTGTTTATTTTCTTCCTTTGTATCCACAATACCACAACACCACACCGTAAGAGCTTGTGCCTCTTAATGCCTTAATTTAACTCCATAGCACCGTGACCGCATGGTTCCTTATCTCCATCCATGTGCGACTGAGACGACAGCGCGACTTCCGTGCAGGTCCGGCGAGCCGCCCTTTCATAAAATGTCTCTATAGGAACAGTAACTTAATGCAGGTAAATTATCAGATGAATACAGAAATATAACAAGCAATATTATAATGATATACTAAACCCCAAACGAATAAATGATGGTTATTTACACTCCCACCAAATCATAAGTGACTATAAATATCAACTTTAGTCACTAATGCTTAATAAAATCATTTTAGTATGAATTGCTTAACTCAAAGGATATGTCAAGAAGTTCAAGCTGCCTCAAGCAGCAGAACCAGCTTCTGTACAGCGCGCTGTGAAGTTCAGGCATTTACCATCCTTCTTC